AAATAAAAAATAAAAAATAATTGTGCAGTTTTGAAGTCCACCAAATCTCAAAATTTGAGAGCAATTGAGTCTTATGGCTATAAAAAGTGATTTGTGTACGGAAAATTCCACAAAAAGACTTCACTGAACAGCACTGAAACCCTGTATACCCTTGCTTACATACTTGTACATAATTGATAGGATAGCTGCATCACTGAGGGTTTTCCAGTGTAAATGCTGCCCCCTGTTGGGTAACATATACAACCGCAGCTACAGATCTTTGATAGGAAAAGGGGAAGTGCACAAAAAGCACTAGTAGGACGTGTGTGTCTGTCTGTATGTGTAGTATCTAATTGTATACTTGAGGCTTTGGCTACTTACATGGGTTAGCCACAGGAATCCACTGGTAGAGCTCATTATGGTAGGGCACAGTGTCAAACTCACTGCACAGCATCTCTCGAAAGGTCGGTTTATTATTCTGACAGGGTTTTGTGTTGCAGGTCCGATAACGCTTCCTTTCCCCGGTGCAGTACCTGCCCCCGAACTCTGGTCTGTGGAAAACAGGTGCACACTTTGAATCAACCATGTGATCAGGATGTCATCTGTTGTGGAAGACATGTCAATAAACTGCAAGACAGATTTAATTACAAAAAGAAAGGAGGAATGTTCAAAATTTGCTTCATAATGGAGGCAGACCTAGAAACAGCTCTTACTTCGGATTGTTACATTCCCTCTCTGCTGACTGAACTCCTGTTCCACAGGTCCTGGAGCAGTAAGACCACGTACTCCACTGTCCCCAGCCTCCATTCACAGTCTCTGGGAGTTTACCCACAATCACACACTCTCCTGAAATACACCACTAAAGGAGAAAATGGTAGTAAGATCAGTCAAATAACATTAGTAATATGACACATTTATTACTCAAGGTTCTGCGCCTGTACCACCCTTGTATTCTTGGAGCCAACCATCTCCATCCCGAGGCTAATGAAATCCAAACCCTAACAAGACAAAGCAACCGGCAACACCCACCTTCTCTGGTCCACAGCGAGTGCCGTCGATAGGTGAGTCCAGTTTGGAGCGACAGGAGCCGTTCACTGAACACCAAAGAATCTGGCAAACGTTCTGAAAGAGAGATGTAATCCAAACAAAATGAGAAAGTGGAAATTTTCTCATATAATAATATTAATATTTCTGACATTCAGTTTTACAATTGGTGCACAATACTCACATCAACCTCATGGCAGAAGGTTGCATTTGGGCCGTACTGGAGCTGGCACTGGTGGTGTGTGGTGTAGCGGACGCCGAGGCGAGCCAGTGGGGTGGTTAGGTCCCTTTTTGAAGGACGGTCATCCAGACAGAAACCCCAGCCACGACTAAGACAGACACACAAAGATATGATAGAGAATGTGTGACCTTTTGAAAGTTGAGACACCTAACTTGAAACAGAATAAGACTTCAGCAGGGAGGAGTTGGTTTGAGACAAATCCTTGCTTGTGGCTAATAGCGTGCTTTGAACATTTAGCAACATTTTAAAAAATGTACTAAAATTTGTGCCATATCAACATGCCAGTCATTCCCCATTTACCCACCATTTGCACTCATACTGCACTTTGCAGTCTCTTAGTTGAGTGTCATATTAAATAGGGTGATGAGAATCTGAGAGAATTCAACAAAAATGATTGATTATTGATCTTCACTGTGCAGAATGGAATGATGTATGTGCAGAGTTTGACACTAGAAGGATGTTTTCACATTCGTCTGCTTAAAGTGGAAAGTTTCTCTCTGTTCACTGAAAATCAGATTTTTCATTATCACAATAATATATTATATAAATGATATAATAATAATAATAATAATAATAGTTTGTCAATCCTGGTACAATTTGCAACTTATACAAGTGTGATGTAGAAACTCTAAGCCACCAGTGCACGTACACTGAGAATTATTGTTCTGAGCAATATTTGTATATATGTCCTAAAAGATGTCTGGAGGGGATCTTTAATTCTTTTCTTTGAATATGCTGTAATACTTCAATTTGTCATTGACACCGTTTCCAACAGAAAAATAATGAGAGTCAAAGTCAACAGGGTGTGACCGCCCTCTGATGTTCCTTTAGGCTCCTCTTGCTTTTTTTTGCAATTTGCTGGATTTTCTGGCTTCAAATGAATTGTGCTTGTTCAGCATTTTTACACCCATGTTCTTTGTTGCTCTTTTAAAACCCTGGTTCGGCATGGTTTGCTACACATCAATGTTTGTATAAGCTTTGTTCCAATACACACCACACCCACTGCGTTCTTTTTTATCTTTTTCACCGCCTCCGTTTAAATCTGCACCAGCATATCCACTTTATCTGCATCCAGGAATTCCTCCCATTTTCACCCCGATTTCACAACTTTGGCAATTCACAAAAACAAAGACAGTATTAAACCTGAGTGAATCATGTTAATATATAATGATTTCATGTCTTCATTTCTGTTTTCAAAAAGTATAACTTCAGCCTTACTCGAGGAAGCGTGTGATGTATTCTTTGGAGCAGGAAGACCAAGTGAGAGGCGAGCTGTCATACATCAGCTGTCTGGACATGATGAACGGGTGCCTCCCCTCTAGCTCACAGTCATTACCCTGGCCGTCATGATGTATCCCAAAGCTGTGTTCAAACACAAACAACATGACCAATTATGATATTATAATTACACAAAGAAATGCTTTATACAAATACATAGTCTTAATGGTCTGGCAGCCATGTTGGACGCCTTCAGCTCTTAGACTGCACCTCTGAACAAACAATTTACTAATCTCAATAGATTTCCACAGTAATGTTGTAATACATCCAAGTAATACATCTGCTTCCAAATTTGAAATCGGTCCAGAGTCATTTCATGACTTTTGTTAGTGCATGTCTTACATTGTTCCTGTAGTACAAAGCAGTAAAGTACATTCAAGTCTTGTTCAAACAGGATACTTGAGGATTTGCACATTGTTTATGAATTATATCAGTTTTGGTGTTTAGGTTAAAGAAAGTTCCATCAGTACTTCTACCTCTTGGCTTTTTCATATATTTTCTTGTTACTACTACTCCTGTACTCTTCCCTTCATCCAATTCAGTCCTACAGTCTTAATCAACTCTCATTTTATCAGCGAGACTATGTTCATAAACTGGTGTCTTCTGAATGAACTGACACTGACAATGATGATATTTAAGAAAATGTGATTTCCTGTTTCACAGTAATCCAAATCCAAAACTTCTCTGGCACTACTAAATGTACACCAGTTAGACAATCTCCTCAGGTATCAGTTGTTTTTTATATCCAGATACTAGATACTAGCCATTATTCGCATACAGCCAATTCACTAATGGGCTGATGCTAGGAGATTCACTGACACAACTGCATATTCCGCTACAGTTACCGATCATGGGAACAAGATGCTTTCTTTGTCATATGGCCCATTGTTATGATATCCCATTATTCAGGGTTTCACTACAATTACAAATCCACACACACACACACACACACACACCTGTGGCCCATCTCATGAGCAACAGTGAAGGCGACAGGTAGTCCTGAATCCTCATTGATGTTGCAGCTGCGGTGTGGTTGACACATCCCAGACAGGTGAGACAGACCCAGGGTCTCACAAGGCTGGTTCATTCCAGCACAGATGTCTTTCCTGGGGGTGGGACACAGGCAAATTATGTGTGTGCATTCCATATTTCCAACATATGATGGCCTAGCATCAGAGGATATAATTCATCAATTAAATTTAAGTTATCTGAAATGCATTTGTATGTGTCACTTGCCTGGTGACCAAGACAGCCAGGTCGTGATGAGCTGGGTGCGTGTCACTTTGAGGATTAAGGTTTTTCTGCCAAGCACAGAAACTGGCCAGAGTGGTGTCTGCATGGTGAACTATCTTCAACCCTTTCTGCAACAAACAGTAAAGTTAGAAACATCATCCTGCACATATTTGGCATCATTTGGATTTTTACATTCAAGAACAGCTTGAGAGCATTTTTTACCGTGAAGAAAAATGTAGAAATACTTTCACTGGGAATTTAGAGAGCAATAAGTTACAGAGCAGTAACCCGTAGAGTTGTGTTTTCATCAACTTCAGTGTGAGCACAGTTGCAGCAGGGCCACAATGGATATGAGTTCAGTTTGCCTTTTCTTTCTATGCAGATGTTTATTACAAAATTATAATACTTTCAAAGGAAGCCGAAAAATGTTCTCTAAATAAGGTTTCCCGTGTGATCAGACAAGATTTTGATAGTTTTCATGGTCAGTGCTCCAGATTCTTGTTGAATATTGTTTCACACAGCCACATGTGGAAATCTGACATAAATTAATGTTCAATCAGGCAACCAAATGAAGGTTAATTTCACAGTTTACTTCACCTCCTGACAACCTTGGTGAGCAATGCTTCATTAATGGGCATGCTCTTTTTGTACTCCAACCTTAGTATGTGCAAAGCAAAAATCACATCATAAGTTTTTTGAGAAATGTTTTCAGGAAAGTGTTACCTCTTCCCCCTGTAGTAGAATGAGGCGAACCAAGATGACGTGGATGGCATTCCCAATACTGGCATCATGAAAGATCCCAGCCACCTGTCAACATAGATATCATTACTAAACATCTATGCATGAACTTAGAGTGCAAATCTCTAAAATCAAAAGTTAATTCTAACTCCCCACCATGTTCATGATGGTGAAGATGTAGGACTCCACATTATCGCTGCCGTGGTATTCTATGAGTTTGGAGTCGGCCACCACCATGGTCTCCACCCACCGCTCTCTGCTGACTGAGCGTTGCGAGCGAGACTGAGTCTGATCCTCCCCCCTCTGCTGCTCCCTCTCCCATTCTTCCCTCTCCCTCTCCACCTGGAAAGTGTCGTTTGGAGCATCTACAGCATGGATAATGGAAGACATCACTTGTAGTACACTTGTGGCTTATCCTTGCTTGACACAGAAAAACACTTGCTTCTGTACAACTACAGAAACATCTGCAGTATCACACACATACACATTCAGACACACACCTTGAACTCCACAGGGACTGGGTGTTTCTTTGGACTCAGGACTGCGTTTTCTTCTGTGGCTTTCTGTAGTAACTCGTGGATAGACAACGTGTGGCTCTAGAGTCCCTGCAGGATCATCAGGAGATTTCTGGACAGGCTCGATAAAATAGTGTCCCTCTGGCAGGGAGAAGAAGCCTCTCTAAGGAAAAGTAAAAATACATAGATGAATATGCATTGAGTAGAAATGATTCAGTCTTTAAGTTTAAATCTTTTACTTTCTGTACATTTAAAAGACACCCAAGAAGATGGCATTCTACTCAGTCACAGCTCCAAATTGTAATTAAGATTTAAAAGATTATTTTTTTATCCCCAAATCTCGCCTAATGCAGCTTTAAGTCTCTTTTGTAATGTCATGCATTCTCAGACTGTGACTAAAACAGCATAGTAACTAGCATGTTTTTGTGTTATAACATTTATGAGTGCAACAACAAATCACCAAAAATGTTATTGTTTCAATAATTCCCACACTTAAAAGGTGAGAGGTTGGACTTTCTCTTGAGAAGCCTGCTGAAAAGGTCATTCCACAGTAATTTCTATCATTAGTCAACAGATCTTAATATGAACCTTTCTCCACCCCTCAGGCACATTCTCTTAGACTTTTTCCTGAGGTATGCCATGCATGTTCTTACTGGTGCAGACTATGTACTTGCTGATTGGTGAGGTCTGCTGGTGAACACACACATAGACAAGTACATAGGAACACGCCCCCACACACAAACAGACCTACATGAAAACATACATGCATGCAAACACACAAAAGAGGCTTCTGTCACATCTCTTGACTTTTCCTTGTAAACACACGCATTATGAATGTTCTGCCTAAAGCTCACTGTTTGCAAGCTCTTTTCATTAGGGTGATTGTGTGTGTGTAAAAAGTGTGTGTGTGGGTTTTGTGTCAAGCTGAGCCCAAACAAGCCCAGACTGTTCCGATGTGAACCCCTCCCTCGCCTCCTAAACCAACTTGCAGAAGACAGAATGAGAGCAGGATGTGTAATTCAAGAGCTAGACGGATGGAATAAGTACAACTGAGTAAAATAATTTGGATTTCTTTTTCAGTAGCAGTAATTTTTACATGCTCATGTACACATAAACACAGCCTGGACATAATACACAATTGGAATAAAAACACTTCACATACTCATGTACTAAGTCAAACAAGGCCAAGAGAAAACATTGCTGCATCTGAGTCTTGGCTCTCTTCTTGGTGTTTGAGGAGCCAAAGGCAGATGTAAAAAATTAGGCCATGCAGTGCTTACAGTTTGGCCAGTTGTGGTTCCAAGGGTCTACCCCGCTGTTTGCTGCAGTTACACACTGTTCAGCTTTCTGGGTCATCCTTACATGTGTTTCAACCGCATTCATTCAACAGCCTGCAGCACTCTGATTGGGTATCCAATTTCTCCACTCAGGGAGTTCAGAAAGTACAATTCCAGAGGAGCGCTCCCTTTGGAAAGACAGTATTACTCCACCTGTTACACTGAACCTCGTAAAATAAGATTGAATGTCCACAAACTGGGACAGAAACTTTGTACGACACAACTAAGCTGTTCAGGCTTGCTTTTCCATGTGAAACCACCAGAAGAACAACAATGATGTTGCAAGTGATAAACAAAAATCCTCTGTATATGTCTGAGGTTTGGATATTTTTCTTCCAGACTCAAATTAAATAAAGTATTGACAAAGGGTTTTCCACTGACTCAGAGTGTGGCCTTCAGCCAGGGGTCCCTGAGCTGTGGTAGACTCATCCACAAAGCATGCAGGCTGATATGTCTACAGTCAGCTGGGAAAGCTTCCCAGTGGCCCTGTGCAGAACACACTCAGCTGATTCCACGGTTGTTCTCAACCTATTTGACAGGATTAACATTCAACCAGATTAAGACTTGTTTTTTGCGCCTGCATCATCTCACTGCAAGACAAAACACAATTTTGTCTTGAAATTTTATTCTCTGTTATCATGCATCCTTGTCATGTCTTATATGTTTTCCTTAATGTTAAGCTTCTAAGTCCCAGCAGAAAAAAAACAGGTGGTGGAGATCAACCAGGAAGGAATGCTTCAGAGAGGCCCATCCAAACATTCAGACCATTGCTCTGCATGATCTGTATTATCTACAAACCACATGCAGTCCTACTGTGCAACACAGCCAGCAAGGTTTTGCTTGTACAGTGTGGTTATGGTGTTACTTGTGATCCTCAAATTACCATGTACAGATCTTGTGTGATGTCTGTGCTCAACAAACAAAGACAGCTTGAAAGGATACCAACTAGGACTTTGTATTGCGTTTGAACAGAAATCAGGGATTATTCTGGAACAGTTTTTGCTCTAAATCCTGAACACTCTGCCAGCTGAAACAGCGTTGCACTGGAGTTCACTTTGCACTTTCGCCACCTCTTCTCCCTCTGCCACCTCCTGCCCTTCTCCTCCTCCTTTCCATTAATCCCCCTCCTCTGACCTAGAGGAAGCATGTTTGGGTGTGAGGTGCCAGAGCCAGGGGAGGTTACCATAACACAGGTCTATGTTCTAAATACATCGGCCATGTGGAACTGCTTTACTTCTGTTTCCTGCTTCTGTGGGTTTTGTAGTGCTGGCCAATTGGGTCTGGAATAAAGTCTCTGCTGTTACACAGCCTGTGGCCTCAGCAGTGATTAGTGGGACACAAGGAGAGGTGGGGGCGGATGGTGCTCATTACTGCAATATGATTAATCACGACTATTTTCAACTTGCATTTATTCTTAGAACTTAAACTGTTTCTCAATGATTACAGGTTTCACTGCACTTACTTGCCCTCAGGTTTTTGTTTTTTTACTTCACAGGATAATTCTGCCTGTGAGCTAATTTCCTTCTCAGAGGTCAAATATATTATAATTTTTCATCTGCACAGTGCTAAGAAACATCCATTTAAGTGAGGAAAATGTTGATATAATCGGTCTGAACTTGCATGTTCTTGCTTTGTGTTGTGCCTCAGGGATTAACAAAGACTCCACTAAGAAAGCTTCGGCTTTTCTTGAATTGAATGTTTTCCCACAGAAACAGCAACCTCCACCCGATTACTCTGCTCCTCGTGGATTCACATGTACAGTAGATAGTAAAGGTGAAGTGTGACCTGAACTTTTATAAAGGCGTAATCACCTGCAAAGTAAATATAGCTCACTGCAGCAAGGCTCTATTAGTTTAAGCAAATGTTGCTTGATTTTCTGAGCAGAAGTGGGAGTTTAAAATGACACACAGAGTTGTACGGAATAATAGGAACCATATTATGGCTTTTATGGCATTTAAAAGTCCTGCTCAGTGCCAGGATTGATTTTGTTCAGCCATGATGATGAGGTTGCGGCAACCATCTCACCTGCCTACAACTATAGCTCAGGCCAGGTATGCAGCTATTTCCTGGTGATGTCTGCTGTGCAAACATATCGATATATACTTATGATTTGCTTCACCAACAAAGGAAAGAGCTGATTAATTGTGACACTGCTGGCACAAGCATAATTTTGGTTAGCACTACTGGAATCAATCTTAACCTTATTGTCTGTGTTTTTGAGAAGCAATAATTTGAGTAAGCGCTAAAACAATTAGTCGATTAATATGTTACTATATGGACAGACATTTCATTGTCAAAATTTTTAATTAATTAGTAATGCTTTCAATTATTTGACAAAATGCCAAAATCTCAGGTTCCAGCTTCTCAAATGATCTGTTGCCTTTCTTTGTCTTATATAATAGTAAATTGCATATCTTTGTGTTGTGGACTGTTAGTTGGAGCAATCAATTTAAAGACGACCCTGTGGGTTTTGGGAATTGTGATGGGCCTCTTACGCCATTTTCTGATCAATTACTCAAGATGACAATGAAAATAATGCAGCCCTAATTTGAGTGCTTTAGTAGATTACAATACAGTACTGACAACAGTTAACATTAGACAATCAGGAAGCCGTTATTTCTTTTTTGAAAACTGCCCTCCTATCCCTTATGAATCAGTCGTAAATATTTGAAATGCCTTTGTTGTTCCATATTTTTTTTGCTGTGTTTCTGTTTGTTTAGTAACTTAATTCTTGAGCAACATAAAACAATGATTATCATGAATTTATATGTTGAAGCAATCCATCTCTATCTGTCTCCTGAGGGTAAATGACCTCCAAAGCAGCTGGCAGGATTTCCTTCCCACATCTGTTTAGTGGTCTCTCTGTGGTTTTAGCTGCTATAAACCTTCCACAAAACAGAAAATCAGTGTAATAGATCATAGTGGTTTCCCTGGTAGGTTGGAGAGAAGGGACAAACTGGAGCATTTTGGGCTGCAGGAGAAACTCCTCCTAATGCGGTAGGTTGTAGATAATTGGAATTTAGAGTGACGTAGTAATGAAGTGCATTTACAAGATTTGGCAGGAAGACGCAGTGCAACCCACACAAACATAACAAAGAGGCAAGAGGCAAGACCCTGCAGGAGAGGCATTCCTGCTGTCACACAATCAAACACGAGCACCGAAACATTGTTCATGACTCAGACTGAAACATCCCATTATTTCAGAGCCAGAAACTTTTTTACTTTTCCACATCCTCTTCCTATTTGGTTGTTTCAAAATGTTGTTGGTAAAGGAATGAATGAATTAGTATTGCAAAATGCTAAAGAGTGTATTTTGTGGTGAATAAAGGCCTTAAAACTCAAATTCTCAGCTATAAGTACACCATGAATTTCTCCAGAAATGTTCATATGGTGCATATTTTTTTTCATAATTAAAATTCCTCAGTCTTTCTGCTATCCAGCTGTCTTCTCTCCTTTGTAGTTGAACTACTTATTTTATTAGAAACACTTCAGCAGAAGTAATAAAAAAAAGCACAAATTCTAAGTATGACCCTATTTCCTGTCTCTTCATCTGTCAAATCGTATTGTTCCAGTCTATAAAATTGTGCCAAAATCTATTACTGTAGCTCTCTCTCAGCGTAGAACAAAGTAACCCTGCACGTCCAAGGGTGGGGGTTGCAAAGAGTTCCTGCAGGAGCAGACAGTGATGTGAATGAATGAATGAATGAGGTGAAAAGTATAGAGGAAAACATCTGAGACACAAAGAAGACAGAAAGTGTCTCATGGTTGGCTGAGAAGTAGCAGTCGTCAGCGGGTCTGCAGCACAGTCGTTCTGCAAATAGTGTCAGGAAGTCTTTGAAGGGCAAACTAACACACAGGGCACTGTCAGATGGAAGGGTTTGCTTAACAGCCCATGACTGCCTACAACACATACCAGCTTCCCCAGAGTGATGCCCCTTTTTCTCATGTGTATTAAAAAGAAACCTTCCTGCCCAAAGCAACTAGATTTCTCACAGAGATATTCCTTCAGTACAGATTTGGGGAGGAAGATGCTGCATAAAGGCTGAGGATTCAGTTTGATGAATGAGACAGAAGTTAAAATTTACATTTTTGCCCTCTTATGTATGTAAGGTGACTCCTTACCAGTCCTTTACAGGTGCTGATGGCAGCAGTTCCTCGCACATCAGATGCTGCCACTGTGCCAAGGAGGTGGCAGGAGTTCCTCTCAGGGGGACGATGCTCTGTCCTGTTGGCACTGCCGTACCTCCTCTCCAGGATGTAGTCACTTGAGACCAGCTGATTGTTTGCAGTCAAATTGAACATTAAAGCACGACCCTTGTAGTTGACCCTGTAGTAAACCTGTCCCTCCACACCAAGGGGTTGCAGGTCACGCCTGACTCGCCCACCCTTGAAGTGGTGAGACAGAGAGTGGGAGATGACCTCTCCATCAGCAGTGGTTTTCACTGGGTGGACGATGGACAGATCTGACTGGGACAACTGACCTGCAGGAAAGAGTTGATTAAAACACCAGAATGGTCTCTATACAGTTGTGAAATATTGATAATAATGTTTTTTTACCTTTAGTGCATACCTTAACTGATATGTACTCAACAATACAAACTTTTTTAGTCATGCAATTCAGAACGTGCACAGAAATACAACCTCTCTACTATAACTGCACCACACTGACCTTGCTCTGCAAAGAGGGAGAGGAGTCTGCCAGTGTCGGAGAGCTCTCCGTGGCCAGCTGCCAAAATGAAAACAAAGTGCAGCAGAAAAAGAACCGGGCTCTCCTGCGAACATCGCATATTTCATGTAACCAAACTCAAAGCGCTGCAAAAGAGTCCGGGGCACTGGGGTTCCAGTGGCGTTAGAGGCGACCACTTCGATCCTGCGCTGCACTGTGTCATGTCATGAACAAGCTCAGAAATCTGCCCTCACGAAGGGAAACATGCACCGAGCAAGACTGGGAGCAAGATCATGGTTTAAAGAGGGGGAAAGCTCCGGCTCTGCGGAGGAAGGAGGGGAGGAGGAGTGTTCTTTGGGCCAGTGTCTACTTTCCTTGCGAGGAGCGAGGGGGAGCAGAGCACGATCGCTGCTTCAGAGCTTCATTGATTTGAATAAACCAGCTGTCCTGTGTCGAGACTTGTCATTAACTCCACTACACCATCATTAATGCAAGACAATTTACTGCTCCTCCCAGAAGACGCTTGAACAAATGAGGTGGGACATTTAGGGTGAAGCTTAAAACTTAATGGATGCAAAAAAGGAGGAATAATTCATTGTTGTACTACCTACATCAATTATATAACTGTAAAAGAATCAAAATATTCATATTAGTCCACTAATCAGAGTATTCACAACATAAGCAGTAAGCACTCCTTCAGTCCTAATGTAGGCTATGTCTACAGCCTACCCATACCTTTTAGTGCTCCATGGTCTAATAGAGAAGCATAAGGGAAGGTGTAGTAGACTTGTGAACAAGAGAAAGGGTAAAAGGTGTACAATATGGGCATTAGTAATATTTTTTTTTCTTCTGCATACTAAAGGTGTGTCTAAAGGTCAAACAATAGACTCACATTCTGTGCAAACACATACATTCTTTAGCTAATTTGACTTAAAATGACAAATATTTGTTCTTTCCATACTATTGCCGCTGCAGCTTTTGAACAATGATTTCTATACAGACGTGTTCTGCCTTATTGCCAACAAAGTTCATATCGCTTTGTATCAACCAGGAATTGGATTCCAGTGCTTAGGATTGTAGTGGATTCAAGAAAAACTGCATGCCAAGAATTTCTTAACACTTATATTGTCTGTACTTAAAGCCTTGATTGAGTTCCTACATAAAAGTAGATGAAATCCCTGAGAGATGTTTTTGGTGTTTGTGGTGTTGAATAGCCCTCAGTAGGACATTATTTACTATTTCCAGGTTGTCCCTGTGGACTATAGCATGCTATAGCTCAGTGTAAAGGGCTTTTCTGAGGCGTATCCTCTGAAGGCCCCTCTCAGTAAATACTGCTGTTCTTTAGTTGTCTGATATTTTCCCTGGAGTAGATTTATGTGTCACTAAATGGCTACTGAGACGTGACGCATTCCCTCCTCCTTTGTCTCAGAGACACAGAGGCAGACAATGCAGTGAACTCATCTATCCGAACTCATTTAACTCTGAGTATCTATCTATCTATCTATCAGTTTTTTTTAAACAAAGTCCTGCAGCTTTACATAAGGCTGCTGGATAATGGGGGCTTTAAACAGGGAAAAGTTGGTTCTCTCATGAATTTGACTTACCCTATATAATTTTGAAAAATGTTGTGCCCCGCTAAAAATAACTTGATACCACTGATATCCCACAGTTCCACACAAATATATGACTAATGGGCCATACTGGGGTGTTCCCCTAAAGGGACCCAGCATGCAACATAAGCAGTATGCTCTTTGTGTTGAGGCTTTAAGATAAAAAAATAGCTATTTAAAAACAAACAAGCACTGCCTTACTGGAACTAACACGCCCTAACATTAACTAACATTAAAGGACAGATAGCGTGTTGTTAGTGTTTTGCTGCACATGGAATGTCTTCCTGGTCTAAAATCATAGGACTGGGCAATTTGCCTGATTTATTAACAACTTTATTGCTCCCAACGGTCTCACTAAATCTAAGTGATCACATATTTTTGGATGAGAAGTTAGATTTTTGGACATGAATTGTATCATTATATGGTATATATCACTGGTATGTTACTGGCAAGCAGCCAGTTTTCTTTGCATCTTTGGTGGAATGAGGTTCAGTCCCAGAATGAATCGCGCTCTTATCATTCCCAGAGACATTACCCAAACTGACCCCCTGAAGTCCCCTGTTACAGTAATGTGCAACAGACTGTGAAATGTATGAACCTGGAAAATAATCAGGACCTTTTGTTAGTCTTAGGTGGGAGAGAGAGGCTTTTACACAGAGATTTTGTGGCCACATTCCTCATAAAGGCTTCCCTGTGTTGTGGTGAGTAACATGTCTGAGAGGTTTGGGGAACTTTATGACAGTCGTTACTGTTTCCCAAAATGCATCAGTTTCAGGTCAGTATTTTAAGCAGATGACTCAGTGATCGACGCTCCCAAAGGACAAGAGAAAACTGAAAATCATTATATGTCTGCAAAAAAGGAAAAAATATGTTTTTTCTAAATTTCAGTACAGAAATAGTTGTTGTGATTGTTTTTTTAACCCAAAACATTTTATCACAAGGTTCACTTACTTCCTGGAGCTTTTTCAGGAGCTTTCAGCCATACCCTGTGGTCTTCATTAGTGGGTAGAGTTTATTCAAAAATGGCTCTCATGGAAAACTAGTGGACATATATCATTGCCATTGCCATGCTCAGCATTTGTGTTATTTTATTGCACTTTTGTATGATAAACTTAATTTATTAATTGAATCTCATTGAGATCAATGCAGATAAGATTCAACATAATACAGCCACACAGAATAATCTCTAAGGTTAAAAATTAAAAGTTAAAATCATGAAAAAGGATGAGACTTTCAAGTTTCTTAGTCCTTCGTAATCCAAATCAAATCAAATCAAATTTATTTATAATGCACATTTAAAAAAGAAAAAAAAAGAAACCATTGGTGACCAAAGTGCTGTACAAACCAGAGCAGGTAGAGGAGACTAAGAGAAACAGTTAAAACAAAATACTGACTGAAAATAAAAATCAATTCACACGGCACATATGATACAGATAAAAAAAAACACCATAGGCACCAGAAGAATCAGCCACATCAGGATGCTAGAAAATGAAAGTATGTTTTAAGCCTGGACTTAATGAGTCAATGGAGGGGGCAGATCTGGTCTGAGGGGGGATGCACAGTCTAGGGGCAGCAACAGCCATTTTTGATTCCATTTACAGGTAATATGGTACAAAGTACTGGAAGGACGTCTTCCTAAGGTCATTATTTAATCATGGGGTATTAAGAATTAGCCATTTTGGAAGAACATAAACTAGAACAAAATTTAATTGCTGCAAGTGTTGTCGTCTGCACTTCCCTCTCTGTCCACAGGGGGCGCTGTTTGGCGCTGCTCCGTGAACTTTGTTCTAGTAAATGGGCGTGTTTGCTATGCTCATTCCTTTGAGTTACTCTGAGGGTAGAAAGGACATGGACTTAAGGTTGACAGGTAAGATGATCTCGTCTAACTCGAAAATAATACTGCTGGTAGCTGTAGAAAGCAGAAATAATGCAGTCGCGTATGCAGTGTTGTAGTGTACGTACAGAAGAGCCCTGCTTCAGTTTGGTTATTTCTAGATTTGTTTATATTGGCAGGAACACATGTGAGAGTGATCGTCAGTGTTTCTGTGCGTCCTGTCACTGTGTGTCTGTTTAGCGTGCTGTGACCTGCTGAGGCTCTGCTCCTGATTAAATTAACTGGACTGTTTGTTTTGCTCTCTTTGTCATTATGGTTGTTGTTGACCTTGATGTTGTTGACCCCCCCCACACACACACACACACACACACATACAGGACTACACTACCTCTGAGCCACAGGGTTGCTCTTGTTCACGTCAGGGACTAAGGTGGAGATGGAGGATTTCTGGGCAGGGGCCATTTGGGCCCTGAAGATCTGGCTGTACCTCATTATCAGCACCATCATGATCCCAGCCATGTTTGGATTCTCACTGGGCATCTCCGAGACCTACATGACCATCCTGGTCAAAACCTTAGAGGTACTGTTGTTTATATTTGTTTGTGCCTTTATTTTGGTGCTGTTCAGATATTTTAAGAGATATGAGACATGAACATAAATGTCTCCTGTCTGTCCTCCTCTGCAGTGGGCCACTCTGAAGATACAGAAGGCAAACGCTGATACGGAAACACTCAAATCCTCTCCATCGAACGGTGAGTAGAGACACAGGATGTTCGAAGTAGATAGATCCACATACATGTTTCCAGTAAAGGCTCTCTTCTTAAGAAAAGTTGTCATATCCTTTATTGTGAAATGGTTTGTGTCCTACTATTTCATAAGACACTTTATTACAAGTCTGAGCATGTTGCAATAATATTGCCCAGCTTTGAGAGAGTAATTGATTTATCTGTGCAGTACAGAATGCTCTAATTTCTGCGTACAGATAAATTTCTGATAGCCCCATGACCTTTAAGGATTTCATTTTGGACTACAGGACTGTCAATGTCTGGCACTTTGACTCGGTTAACTTGAGAACTTTTACAATAGGCAACGAGGTAAAGTTGCTCCGGGAACTCTGCCTATCACACAAGACGCAATTACTCAACTTGTTATCAGTCACTGAGCTGCACAGGGTGGTATCCCCTGTTGTAACACATAAAGATGTTAGTTATATCAGCAGAATGTGGCCTCTACAAAGTCCAAAGTATGTCAGTGTTACATTTTTAAATGTGGACGATAATACAATAAGTGAGAGAGCTTCATCAACAGAGATAAAGAGGACATTGTGCTGAAAGTTTTGATTGAATATTGAAGGAATTCAGGGTTTGTTACTCCAGGTTTTGGACTTTGTCCTCTGAGTTATCAGATAATGTGGAGTCTGAGCTGAGGTCAACTCTTAACTGTTCTGAGACCTGTTAGGTGGAAAGTGTAACTAGGCTGCAACTATCATTAGTTCTCCTGTTATTATTATTATTATTATTATTATTATGTATTACAGGTCAAAAAGTGAAAGGTCATGTTTTAGGTGGGTTGTTGACACATTTTGTCGGCAACGGTACATTTTCATGGAAAGTCCCTGCTGCAATGAGAAACCTAATACAATATCTCATCTGAGCTCTTACTGTATCAAAGACAGTTTTTCATGTTGAAATGAGCTTATTCTGCCAAATGACACATGTACATCCTTGGATGACGCAGAGCTGCCGTTACTGTTTTCTTTCTCCTCTGAAGTGCATGTCCCACGATGACTCTATGCTGTGTTTTACTGTGATCATTTATCTTAGTTTTTTTTATTTTATTAAGTACAGAATTTAATGTCCTTCCAAGAAACACATTCCTGAATGAACCTTTATTTTTTTCTTCTGTTGACTCAAACCATTTTGTCTTCTAACACTATTATCAACACAATCTTAAAAGATATGGCAAAGCTGACTTCTCTTCCAGATTACTACTAAGATAACGAGTCCTGTGCTGTGCTGTGCTGTGCTGTGTGTGTGTGTGTGTGTTAGGTCTCATCCAGAGGGAAGATGGCTCTATGGAGAAAGAGTTGGAGGAACTTAGACGCAGTCGCCCCAAACCAACAGTGGGTGGGGATTTTACACTTAGTGACTGTTTCTATTTCACCCGGCGAGGAATTGAGAGCATTGTAGAGGATGAGGTACACTTCATTTTATTAACAAGAACACAATTTGTTATGTAAATGGTCATAAGTGAATTGCAATCCCTGGTTTTGCATTTCAGACTTTTAGTAGTCTGGTTATACTGGTCTGTTTTTAATTCATTTTAAATGTTTAAATAATTTTTTAAATGTAGGTGACCCAGCGGTTCAGTTCAGAGGAGCTTGTGTCTTGGAACTTACTGACTCGCACCAACAATGATTTCCAGTACATCAGTCTGAAGCTTACGCTGGTCTATGGCCTTGGCATCTTTGTGAGATACTGTATCCTCGCCCCTCTCAGGTACACGAATACTGAATAGTCTGCTTACTGCAAAGTTAAACTGGTACAAATGTAGTGTTGCCTTCCAGACATAGGTTGAGTCAAACCTCAGTGGGTGGCGGTTCAGAACTGTGGTCTAACTAAACTCTTTACTGTTGCACCAAAAATGTGAATGTTTGTCCAATGAGTTCATTCAAACCCGCTATGAGACTGTGCTTTTTGTATTTTGTGAAGGCTATAAGTTAGTTGTATCTTAAGATTGGCCTACAAAGAAACTTTTTGTTCAACTATTCAGTATTTTATTATGTTTCTGAGCTTTTGTTTTTTCTGTTGTCAAACTGAAAAATAAATGTGTTCCACTTTCTTCAGGATAACACTAGCCTGCATTGGCCTCACCTGGTTGGTCATAGGAACATCTGCAGTTGGATTACTTCCAAATTGGAGGTGACTACAGACTATAACCATCCCAATAATTTATTAAGCATATTTAATATCTTACTTGTTCTCATGGAAATGGTTTCTTCCTCATTTGTGCATGTTGGCTCATGTGTGTGGTTTTTCTTATAGGATTAAGTTCTGGCTCAGTGAATGGGTCCATGTGATGTGCTACAGGATCTGTGCTCGAGGACTCTCTGCCACCATCCGCTATCACAACCGGTAAGTGAGTCTCCTCATTATGTAACTTTCTAACAAAGATCAGGAATATCTTCTTATACTGAGTTCATTTCATGTCTTTGTCTCATAACAACAGGGAAAATATACCCAAAAAAGGAGGAATCTGTGTCGCCAATCACACCTCTCCTATCGACATTGTGATTCTCTGCAATGATGGGTGTTATGCTATGGTACAGAGGCAGCTTAATTCATTTGAACATTTCCACACTGATACTATGGGACATTTTTCATAACTGGCTGCATGTGTTCGTCAGGTGGGTCAGGTACATGGAGGTTTGATGGGAGTCATCCAGAGAGCCATGGTGAGGTCCTGTCCTCATGTGTGGTTTGAGAGAGCAGAGATGAAAGATCGCCACCTGGTGACCAAAAGGTCAGTTTTCCACTCCTCAACTCCAGCATGTCTGTTCAGGCTTGTCTTTGCACGTCTTTCTCGCCTGTATTTTCTCTCTGTGGCTGCTCCGGTACAGAGTGGGGTTGGCATTTTCCTGGCAGTAAAGTCTTCTAGAGTTATCTGTTATTATCCAAACAAGAACAGATATGTTTTGGAAAGTTGCTACTGAACAGTGACTCACACAGTTTGGATTCCAGTACCTCATAATATAACATCTTCACTCCAGACACTCGTTTCAGATGTTTGATGTATTCTCCCAAATGTAAAAAAACTCTTCAAAGGTGCAGCATGTAGATATTTATAGGTTTCCATTACTTCTTTGTGCTGCTTCCAGGTTGAAGGATCATGTGAATGACAAGACAAAGCTTCCCATATTGATATTTCCAGAGGGTAAGTGTGACCATGTAGAGAGATAGAGTTACTATATCCACACCAGTTTTATATTTGTCTTTGTCTCATCAAAGATAAGAGCCAGCGAGTGTTGTTGTTTTAGCTCAGTGCCTGATGGCAGTCTGGCCACTGAGCGGAGACAAATGAGCAACTATTTTATGTGGGTTTGGACAGACCTCACACAACTCTGTCTGCTTTAATCTCCTGATGTCTGGTTTCCACAGGAACCTGTGTCAACAACACATCTGTCATGATGTTTAAAAAAGGCAGTTTTGAAATTGGAGCAACAATATACCCAGTAGCCATTAAGGTATTTCAGTTCTGTCTGTCGGTCAAACTCCATCCCTCATTCAGATTTATTTCTGGCTTGCATATTTCAAAGTACAGTTCCGCACTTGCACTGAACATCTGTGTATTTTTTAACTTTTCTTAGTATGATCTAAAGTTTGGAGATGCTTTCTGGAACAGTTCCAAGTACAGCATGGTCAGTTACCTGCTGAGGATGATGACCAGTTGGGCCCTCGTCTGTAACGTCTGGTACCTGCCAGCTATGCACCAACAGGTGTGTATTACATGTGTGTGAAGCACATGAGCACACGTATGCATAAAGCCACGTGTACAGCCCACGGGTGCTACCCCCACCCCTCAGGTATATGTACACTCACAGACACACATCATGGTAGACTGAGTTTGTTTTTATTCAAAAATGACAGGAGGGGGAAGATGCTGTCCAGTTTGCCAACAGAGTTAAGTCAGCCATTGCTCACCGAGGAGGGCTGGTAGATCTACAGTGGTAAGATTCAACCTTTTCACTTTCTTCACTTGATTGTTATTTAATTGTTCTGTATATGTAGTATTTTTCTTCTTTTTTTTACCCAGAAACTGACTTAATTGATTAAAATATATATATTTAACTGCATGTCAAACATGAAAAATACCAGAATAAAATGGTCCCTTGACTGTCGTATTCACTGACATTGAACATATGTAACGTTAGTAAAATGATTAGCTCCAGTCTCAGTTCAGTCCTGTCACCACCTGTCTGTGTCTGCAGGGATGGAGGCCTGAAGAGAGCAAAGGTGAAGGAGTCGTTTAAAGAGCAGCAGCAGAAGCAGTACAGCAGCATGGTGGTGGGAGACGACAGCAGCAGCAATAGTGAATGAGATCCCCAAACAGGACGCTGAACAAATCCCTGCCCCATTTTTGGAGAATATACACCAGGAAACAGGCTTGAAGAATGTTCTCATTAGCCGGACCTGGGAGGAAATACTGCCAAGTGGACTTAAACACACTGTGAAACCTTAGGTACAGCTAAAAGGAGGAAAGTCTCAGTGATTCAAAGAAAACACGAAGTGCAATATTGAACTTTATGAGACTCTGTCTGAAGGTCTCTGTTTTTACTGCTGCTGAAGATAACATAGCAACTGTTGATTGAGTTTATGCTGAGAAAATGCTCTGAATGAAATGTGTGATTGCAGAAAAGCCACTGGATTCACGAATGTATCTACTCTGAGTCATTTGACTCATTTATGTGCTTTTCATTGTTTTTAAAAAAATAAATTTTAGTTTACAATTTTAATACCCATGGTGTAATTGTGCAATGTCAACAAGAACCTGGAGGTAGTTGTACTGTTTTATAACACAACATGAAATACTATTCAATACATATGACATAATGATAATTTAAGCATTTAAATATTGCTTTTAAGAATTTAGATCTTGCAGTATTATACTGCAACATTATTAACACTGACAAGCACCAATAAAAGTTCAGTTAATTCAGTTAAAAGATAACCTGTTTGAACAATCTTCTGTTATTGAATTTAACACTGATAGACATATAGCCTTAGCTTTACAAAAAGGAAACATCGTGCACAGTGTTGCACAGTAACAACCTTTGATCCCTTTTTTCCTCACAACTGTAAAGGTAAAGCAAGGACACAAGACACACAAGGGGTTGGCACTTAAATAATACATGATAACGTAGAGTGTGAAAGGCGAGTTCATTAAATGTCCACATGAGATGTGATGGCCTTAAAGGAGAACGCACAGCTGAGACTTTTTGGATCTCTCTCCACTGGATGGTTTTCCTGAAGTGGGATCCTCGCTGCCGCCATTGCCCTGTGGGTTCCCTTCTTTGGCTCCTAAAAGCAAATTAAAGATAGGTTTCTTTTTAAGTTCACTCACTGTGAATGTTGATGCAATCCTGATATTTCTTTTGTTTCAAACTGTCAGTGTTCTCACCGTCATTCACCTGATCACTTGGATCTGTGATGCCCTGAGTAGAAACAAACTTAATCAGATGAACGACAGCCACATGACCACTTTGCGCCAGACAGCCTCTTAACCAATCACTGATGAGTCTCTAGTTGATGACAGCACTCACCTGCAACAAGTTGCCTTTGTTCTTCTTTCTCTGCTCCTGGTATCTGCAAAAATTAACAATGGAAAGAAGTTTACACATGACTGTAGAAACTCAGCTGAGTCTAATTTATCTACAATGATGCATACCACACCAGCAGTGTGTCACAGCTTTCTATAAGATGTGACTTCCTGCCTTCCTTTTAGTGAACCAGCCAGGAGAAACTGATGGTATGGTGAAATATTTATGAGCCTGATTAGTGCCTCACATCTGTGTCTCCCTCTCCACAGTTCAAATGACAAACAGGTTGCTGTTGATTCAGACAGGCAGCGTTTAAATGAAGCTGCTTTTATCTCTCAGCAATAAAAGCCAATAAAGCTGCTCTGTGGCAAATCTTCTTGGGGGAATATGGGTTCTGTACTCAGAGCATCCCTAACTCTAACAATCTGGTATCACACTACTGTGTTTCTAGTTGACTATGATTTTACGTTTAGCGGTGTTAGTCTTCATTAGTTTTGTGTATATTTAATTAGCTACTGGGAAACTGGCGATTGAGTGTCTCCATGATAACATTAGCCTTCACTGGCCTCAGTTGGGCTAACCAAATTTGAGGTGACCACAAAATATAACATTCAGTATAACATTCAACACAAAAAGCAGATTGTTTTATTTGCATGTCAAATGTTTGAATTATTTGTGAATATACCTGCAATCTAACAGTAACACAATTGCATATCTTATTGTGTCTATCTGTAAAAGAAACATGATATTACCAAATTTCTTTCTTAAAATGTTGTATTTCCTGCAGTGACACCCCTATAATGTAAGACATTTTCTCTGGTACTGAAAAGCCACAGCATTACACCTGTCAGTTGATGCAAAATAAAGTGAATTTTCTTCAGTTGCTGCAGCTACACATGCAGTAATCTACCCACCTTTGCAGATAGGAGTCACAGTTCCTGTTGGCAGGTTTGGTCTTCCTCTTTGTGCTTGTATCTACTCTTACATCCACTCTGCCTGCAGCTCCAGATGCAATAGGCATCTCTGCCAGTAGGACTAATTTTCAGAAATCAGACATTAACACACAGTCATTTGGATGCAACTCTGCTGTTGCAAATGTTCTCAAAGTGAAGCTTGCCTTGTAGAGTTTCACACACTCCTCGTCCTCTTGTTGTTGACTGGCTGTTTGCTGTGTGAGCAGGAAATGTGGCTGTGGAGTTTATGGAGATGTTTGTTGTCGTATCCACGGCAACAGTGTCCCAAAAGAATGGAACAGCAGTGAGGCCTCCTTGAATGTGAACCACTGACATCTTCTTTACTTTACCTTACTTATACTGCAGAATATTTAGTAATAGTCCTATATGCCTTTACATGCAGTCTGTGGAAAATCTTACAACACAAAACAATTTACTAAGAAAAACAGTGTTTGTCTTAGTTTGTTGTCATATAACTCATCCACTTTCTACTGAAAGGGTTTCATCAATATAATAATATAATAAAATAATCAATATAAAGCAGAACAAAAATTACAGTAGAGCAAGAATTACTACTATAGCAAATATTTGTAAACTGAAGTAAAAATATTAAAATCACCAGTTGGGTATCAAACATCTTAATTATGTCTTGTCTTTATCTCATATTTCTTTACTTCTAAAGCCATTCTGTACAGTGTGTGGATTAGGGATGTGCATCTCCATCACTGAGGATAATGCAATATGCATTACCAGCGATCCGATACTTTAAAGATACATATGAAGCTACTACCAATGTGATATGATACAATATATCACATTGGTAGTAGCTTTTACTAGTTTATATAAAATAAACTAGTAAAATTATTGGTCACGTTTCTAAATAAAGGCATGGGGCCTCTACTAATACACTTTTACAGATGCAAAGATGTTAGAACTTTTATGCTGGTGCACCAATGCAAATCTGTACATCTTACCGTCCCTAGTGTGGATATGATTCTGACTCAAGTTACATATTTCTTGAGTTGTGTTAGACTTAATTTATATTTTTAAATTATCAAGGATAGGACCTTTTCATGTGTGATGTTCATATTCTTTATTTTGGTATCATTTTGGTATTACATACAGTTTTTGTTGTCAACAACATGCGCAAAGAAGCTTTTGAGGAGCCAAACACTTTATTCTCAACAGCATACAAACAATTGAGACACTTGTAAATACCAACAGAACTGTAGCATTTATAACCATTGAACAGTTGAGGTTGAATGAATCCGATTTCATCAATCATTGATGTTTTGTAAAATGTAAAAACAGTTACTGACATGTTTAGATGACCTGACTACACTACAGGTTTACAGTCCTTGTTAGGATTCCTCCTTCTCATCTCCATGGGTGATGATGTAGCAGAGTGACTTGTAGTCGATGTTGCCAGTAGGATCAATAGGAGCCAGAGCAAAAGCCTGATCCACCTACAGGTTTATGAAGTGACAATTTGCCTGATGAAAATTATTATCTTAAAGAACAGTTTGAGAGAAGAAGAGTTTGAGTCTGTCAATATAAAATAGAAAACACAAACCTCCTCTGCTGTGAATTTATCAGCCTGGTTCATCAACAATCGTCTAAATCTGGATAAACAAAAGAAAGTGTAAAAGGAAAGGCTAAAAACTGTAATGTTACTGCTAATAGTAATAACGTGAAATCTAATTAATAAAATGTATCTTACTCATCCTTGTTAACAAAGCCCGTCCCATTGGGGTCAAAAAGCTTGAAGGCAGCAAGTATGGTGTCTTCAGGATCGGTTCCTGGAGGAAAACAAAGAATCATTTAAGCATCTCCTACAAATTCATCAAAGAAAATG